CCTAGCAGAGGCATATTCTCAGCTGTTGGCTTCCAATATCAAAGAACATAGACTCTACATTGGACACCGTGTATGCACCTGACAAGATGCTGCTGCTACAGGATAAAAGGTTCAATCATCAAGAGGAGAAATGTGGTACAAAAGGAAAGTCTTTCACATTTCTCCTTCAGTTCACAAAAAAATGTGATTCGGAACACCCCTCAAGCACCCATACATATTGCAGAGAGTGCTCTTATTCCACAGGCATTTCTCAGAAACTTCTGCAATTCATTTTCTAAAGATAGTGGTTAAAAGCTCATACGACAACAAGGCTGATAAAGCCAAGAAAGTTGGGTGGGCATTTATAAGGTCACCATCCACAATGCTTTGGTAGTTTAGGGCAGGAAAGAAGAAATAAAACACATGCTGGAGACCAAAAGTAATTATTTGAACTACAGTCTGATAGAGAAAAAGACAGAAAAAGAACAAGGAGATGCATTTATGAGAATCAAAGGAATTATGACAAACATGGTGGCAAAAAAAAGGCAAAGTATATTTTCCAAAGAAGCCCACAGGCCTTAAAAAACCCCAAAGATTCATGGATCTGGTAATATTCAAAGAAGCTTCAAAACATGGAAAAATTCCATCACTCCCTCTTTATGGAAGAGGCAGTGGCAACCACCATGTTTCAGAGAAAAAGAAACCCAAAGGAAAAAAATCAACAAATTGCAGATTTGAAACAAACATCGTAATTCACCATTTCCTTTCATTTTTTTAAAAAGGCTTCCCATCTGGCATGAAAATTTTAAGTTGAGACAACATTATTTTGGGAAAAGCTGGAGGGTATGTGCAGGAAATACTAACAGAGGCTTTAGTGGAAAAAATTAGTCATAGCATTAACAATTGACAGACTGTTATCCTTCAGTAATGACCTGACATGATGGTACTTTGCTTTTCTTTGTTTTTAAATAACGGACACTGTCTCATTGACTGTTCACTACTATAAACTGGTTCTCAATGTACTGGCAATGCTTGTATTCACTCAATTAGAGTAGTAATTTCCTCTTATACGTAAAAAGGAAACAATGAAAACCAGCACCAGGACAAACTACATGTTTTGAAGGCTAAATTTAAAAGTGTAATAAATATGTGTACTTAGCCAATTTACTGAATTGTCAGGCTTATGAATCTTTCTTTCTTATTGTCCTTTTAATTCTTGCAAATACAAAAGGGTAACTTACTGTATTCTGTACTTTACATCTAGGATGCTTGGAGAATTCTGACAAGTATCATAACCCAGAAAAATAACTTTGTGCTTTTCAACAGCCAAAGGTTATACTGTTAAATACAACTAAAAACATCCCCAAGAAGCACAGTATATTGGGATCACCAGTTACATGAAGAACCAAGAGACTAGCCTGACAACAAACCCCCCCAATAAAACAGATTCTCTAGGTAATTACGATTGTGCATGAAGAAACAATTGAAAAGGAAAGAAATGAAAACTGTCTGTAAGGGGTTTTAACCAAATGCACACTACATCTAGAGTACAAGATATATTTGTAGTGCATTATTAATACATTTGAGTTCACAGAGCCTCAGTGAAACTCTGCTCACAATTACTTTGGGGCACTTCAGGAACACATAATTTGAATATAAAAACTAGTAAGAATTTGACATGAATTCAAAGACAAAAGCAGAGGCTGTTTTAAAAAAGGTTGCTTGTGAACAACAGTATCACTGCTGAGGTGTTAAAATTATGCAGCAAGGCTCAGAGTTTGCCAGTTTCAAAGGCTTTACTGTGCAAGTCAGCCAATCACTGCAGATGATCCCTGTGAAAGCAACACAAAACAAAGAATTCCCTACATAAGTTAGGAATCTGCTTGCTCTTCAAGTTTGTAGTAGTTACCAAAAAATGAAATAAACCTGAAGTTTTCTCTGGCTACTCTGACATGATGGCTTTCTTACCTTTGAAACCATTATCTTTGCAATTAGCATTAATACTTCCATTTTACCATCCAGACACACGCATCTTTCCCACCTACATCTCAGGCCTATTAAGGTCTTCCACAGTTAAATTTTGCAAGATCTTATTCTCTGATGCCTGTGATCACGTTTACCTCCAGCAAACCCTAGAGCAGGCATTAGAAATAGAGTCTGTCAGATAGGATTTGTTTCAGCCCATTCGATTATCCTTCTACATGTTGATGACACACGGATCATGTGTGGGAACCACCTATCTTACTTGGCACATCAAGACTCTCATTATGCATGTCCAAAATAGCTGCATGAAGGCTGCATAATATTTCCTAACTTTGCAGGGCTTGAAAAACACAAACCTAATGAAAGTCATCCTTCACAAAGACACATCAGATCTCCACCCTTTGCACTAGTTCCCTTTCATTATATACCAAATTCTCCTTTTCTCTTTGTTCCTTTGCTCTTTTTTCCCCCATGTGTCTCAGACTTCAGCAAGTCACCAATAAACATACATCAAACTCTTGCACAGCATTCATTTTCAAAGAAGAGCAAGCCAGGTGTCTGCTCCCAAGTGCATATCAAGATGCAGGGGTGAAAGGCTGTGAACTCTACCTGGAGCCCCTTATTTATGCCAGAGAAATTAAAAATGAGACACAGTCTTCCCCTTAGCACTCCCTATCAGCTGGCTTATCAAGGTCACCACTAGCATTTCCCTTTGACACGCACATACACTTTCATTCAGTGTAAAGAAAATTTAAAACTCTTACCTCATGATTATAAATATCTCTTCAAGAGATGGATGCCTAAATTTCTGAACTTTATAGTGCACAAGTTCCTCTACAAATTTGCTCCTAAGGTGAGGGGGAGCAGCCTAGGACATAAAGTTTGGTATTAAAAGGCACAGGCACCAGAGAAGAAGTACTTCAGTAATCTGGGGTTTCTTTTGTGAACACATTAACTACATCTTCTTGGGCAGTGATACAGAATGACAGTAATTTTTCAGCACAGTAAGACAGACAGAACATGGTAGTGTTATTATCGATTGCAGCTAAATGAATCCCTAAATTTCATTTTGTTCAGGAACAGCATCCAGAAAATTAATAATACCACCCCCTAAAGTAGAGAGTGGTACTGCTTTCAGCATGGTCTCCATACCAGCTCATTGCCATACCATCAGGGAAACAATGATTTTCCCCTCCTCCTGGTGCTTATGTTTCTTCTTTTAAGAAACTTTAACAGAATAAAAAAAATACTCTATTTTCCTTTTCCCCCACCACAGAAGAAAAAATTATTTCTGAACAAGGTTATACCGTATTTTTAATTACTCACAAAACTAGCATTTAGACAGCACCATTCACCCAAGAGTTCTGTGGCACTTTGAAATTTCAGTTAAATCAGGCACTTGGTTTACTTATTTATGGCTTGAGGAATTAACAGACAATTACTATTTTTATCCTCATTTTATCAGTGAAACTATTAAATAACCTGAAGCATGCAGTAGCTTAAGACCAGATTCTGCTTAAATTTGCACAAAGATCTGGAACAGTGTCACTGAAGTGAATGGAGTTATACTTACCCAGAACTAGGCTAGTACATGGCACACAGCAGAGACCTAATTATTCCAAAAGGCTCCAGGTGTGGAGCTGTGGTGGAAGTAACAGAAAGTAAAATCTGTATTCTGAGTCACAAACCTCTTCCCAATTCACCTGCTCATCATAAAGAACCAAGTCATCTTTTTAGCAAGAGCAACCAGTGAGAGGTCAGGAAGCGATTAAGTAGCTATACCAAGGTCATATAGGATATTTGTCACAGAGAATGTCTCTAAGCCCAGATTTCCCCATTTCCTGGATATCACTTTAATCACACACCTTTAAAAACTGCTAACCACAAAGACAAAATAAACCCAAAGAAAATGTACTGCATTTCCAGAAGTAGCCAAGCATCTTAAAGCATTCTTTATCTCATCAAGGGGATGTTTCAACAGAGAAAATGAAGCCGATTCTGCAAAAGCTTGATGAGAAAGGCATGTATGTCAGGCATTATCACTGAGCTCCTTAATTCCCTTTCCTCTGATAACTAACTAGACCAACTTGCATCTTACTGATGGGAAGTGTGAAGTTAAGCTGAAGTGTTTCAGTTCACGGGATATCCTCTGATCGATGAACTTAAATTAACACAATTTTTATCTCTTCTTCCCAATCACTGCCTTTATGGTGCATTTTTAGAACATTTCCCTTATTCAGAGAAACCAGAGAAAGCTCTATTAAACATTAATTCTGGATACTTCCTATTGGAGTCGTGGGAAATGTTACTTTCATCATACTACTTTCTTAAAACAGATAATAAATGTGCCCGTAACATTTGTATATGCAGTGAAATGTCAGTAAAGTACAGCATAATCTTTTATGTCTTCTGAGGACTTCCCATTAAAAAAAGATAACCAAACCTCTGAGGATCAATACTTGAGGAAAATCTTAAGTCTTCGGCTTATAGTCCTTGCTTAAGGACTTGGGTCCAGATCAAGACGCAAAACAAAGAGAAACTTGTGGTATAGTACAGAAAGAAGAGTACCCTAGGGATGCAGGGGGAGAAGAAAAAGGTCATGGAATTTTACTGTTGAGTTAGCCAAAGAATAACAAAATGGCTGCTCAATGTCATAAAATACATTGAGGCTTACTCTAGGGTCCAGACATGTAGTAAAGCACTTCCTCTGGGTTCCCCTCTCAGACACATACCATGTTAACTAGATTTAACCATAAAAGTTCTGAAGTTTTTCCTTCAGCACTGAAGATTAATATTGTCCTCTGGACAAATGTGTTATCTTTCTCTTTTCAGTAATAATTTTATCTCTCTCTTAACAGAAAACCTTCAGACATTTTCTGAGACTTGTTTCTAATTAATGGTACTTAGGTGCACCCACCAGTTTTGCCTACTTCTACTTGCCCAAGTGCAGTGCCTATTTCTGTGAATTTTTACAAAACCCATAAAGACAATGTTAGGGCCACCAACCACCAGAAAACACAGAACAAGGACAGACTTACGCAGTTCTTCCCGGTGCCTCTCTGTCTCTGCAAAAAACTGGCGAAGCTCCTCTGTGATTTCCATGTTACTCAAGTCATATTCTATCTCCCCTTCAGACTCAGAGTCCTCCTCCATTTGGGAGTCTCTGTCATCATCCTTCCTCCCTTGGTAGGCATCTCTGTACTGCTGAGCTCCCCCATGGTAGGGTGCTCTGCCGTGTGGGCTATAGCTGGAAAAACAGTTTTGGGTATGTGGGAGATCGTTCCCATCCCAACCTGAGTAGTGGCTACTCGGAGAGGCTGCAGAAGGATGCCATGGTGGGCAATAAAAGGACTCCATGGCTTTCCTGTAGGCTCTCTGGTGCCTGCGCATCCAGCGCATGGCTAAGTCATAGTGCTTCCAGTATCTTGCATAGACTCGCTGAGAATACCATGGCTCGTTGTCCTCCTCTGACCAAAACTTGGGATAGAGAGAAAGAACAAAAAAGAAAAAAGAGAAAGGAAACAGTCATTGTGGGGGAAAATGCTGTAAACACAAGCACAAAGTTTGATTTTTAATCATCAGTTATCCTTTTTCTAAGATAAACCGCACAGATGTGGAAGAGGACAAGTATTAACACAGCATGAGTGCACTATGCTTCATTACTCTTACAAGGTATTGGCTTTGCATCAACACAGCTACCAGGAAAAATTAGCAATAGAGAAGCTGTAGTGCCCTGAAGGTATTTTCCAAGTGTTTGTACTACTAAGGTGGGAAACAGTTCTTCCTAGGCGATATGCTGTGTGGATATATTCCACAATTCCTTAGTTGCTCACATGAGTTTTAAGAACTGAACCATTCCAAGGTGTATGTATTACAACCTACACCTGATTTCCAAATCCGCAGACAGAAAACACAAGAGATTAAAATTCCTCCATACTAAACAAAGGCATTCATTTTACCCAGTAACATATTTCCTCCATCTGCCTGCCAAAATAAGTCTCTCAGAAAAGGTCAAATGGCAATTCAGCCAAGTTCATATATCCATCATGGCCTCAATGAAAAACAAGACTGTATTTAGCCAAGCACAAGCTGCCAGTAAATCTCCTTTTTGTACTCATCAGCAACCAATATATGAAAAGGGTAATAAAGCACTACTGATAAAGTATGTGGAAAAATAGTTCTATAGAACAAAACATACTGTAACACACCTCCTCCTGTCTTACAGCTGATCTTAAGTTTTCCTGAAAAAACAGTTTTAAGCTGTTCAGATTTTACCAGCAACTACAAAGCCTTGCAGTCCCTCTAGCCCTAGGCCTCCTTTCTACAGCCATTTCATCTCCCTCCTCATCCTTCTCTACAAAAAGAGGGGATAATAGAAGATCTTTTATCTGGGCTAAAATGGAATGCCTGTATTCTAAATTGAAATAATTTTAATTAAGCCATGTTTTGGCAAACACTCAAAACTACGGCAAGACTAGCTAAGGTTTTCAGAGATCAATGGGACATCTAGAGTCCTTTATTAGTTTGCTTTTTTTAATATAAAAAAGGAAGTGCACTGACACTACTTCACAGCCTTAAAAGAATGATTCTCTGGGAAAAAAAACAACTCCCAAAACAAAACAGAAAAAACAAAGCTAAGAACTACTTTCCATTTAATACTAACAATATCAAGAGAGGTTAATTTCATTTACTTACATTTGTTTTCACTTTGTGGTTCTCACGTAATAATGCAAATGCTAGAGAGTTTGGAATCATAATTATAACTGTTACATTTCCCTTCTTTCTGCAAACTTGAGCCCATTATCCTAGGCTCTCAGAAACCAAATACCTCGCACTAATACAGTCTGCAAAGAAAACCCACAACAAACTTTCATTCCTTAAGAATTTCTGATAAAAAATTGCACCCTAGTTGTGAAGGGCTGTGGGGTTCAGCTATGTGGTGTAAAAGTCCAGACAAATTATCTTTCCTGAAAAGTACCAATTCGTGGAGGTGAAACTTGATTCTCATTCTCCACTTAGTCTAACATTGTGCTGCTACAAGACCATGTATTCCAGAAGATTAGTTTCTAAAATGAGTGGGTGCAAGGAAAGCATCTGCTTTCCATATGGCATTTCTTCATTCTTAATCATCCAACCACCTAAAGGCCAGGATGAACAATGTTTTATTTACTGTTCTTGCTTTGCTTAAGAATGTCACACTGACTCCTCATCCTTCAGCAGCCAGATGAGAATGTCCTGTTGTCAGATGTGATATACTCACAGGTTACTTTCAGAACATTTTGTCTAATTTTTCCACCAGTTAAAAATCCAGTTTTGAAACATCATGAAGCTTGACGAAACCAGGTATCTCCTACATTCTGTGTATTTTCAAAGAAGACATCGTATTCTTTTAAAGCTCAAAAACTATCTCCAGTTCCTCTAAAATGTTTCTAAAAAGGCCCTTGATGACTTTACTGAAAGCTCTGGAATCCAGCTGGCTGATTCGTTTAGCTGACTAACTCCAGTTGTTAATTTAGGGGAAAGGAAGACAAAAAGCCAGTTCATGTAGACAGAACTGTGATGCTGGTGACTTTCCAACTGCTTTTTTTGTGGCTTATTTTGTTGAAAGTGACCCTTGAAAACCCCTTTTACATTTGAATTTTAAAAATACATCTGTAAAAAGAAATTACAGAAAAGTTTTACATTGGGGTGGAAAAGGGAAAAGAACACTTAAAGTCTAAGAGTTCTATGTCTGTGCTTTTTCAGCTGTGGAATAAATGGAAATAAGAGATTTCCTCAAGGAAACAAAAGCTATAAATCTAAGGCAAATGATCAGAGCCCTCTGTTATTTTCCTGTTATGTCTCTGGAATCTTCCCAGGAGTAGACAAATCACTCACTGTTGTAATCTGAATTCTATTTTCAAAGCAGTTTAACTACTTTCATATCTAATTTTTACATGTCTGCACTGACAGTTCCATAAGCGTGTTTATATGCATTTTGAACATAAAATGTGATTAAGTTATCACATAGAAATCCAAAAAACCACTTACCATCTCTTGTGGAGTTTGTTCTGGTGATCAAGGTGAACTAGAAAAGAGAAGAGTAGCTTTTTAACTCATAAAAGATGGTCATAAGCACAGAATATATTTTTGTTAAACTTGAATACTATGGCCTACAGTTATTAAATATTCCTTCTCTGTTGTGGCTTATTTATCATTTCTTATTAACATCAGTAAAAACCTCATTCTTTAAAATTCCTCACTACAGTAAAGTTACAAGGGAGCCTTTTACACAACGCAGCCTAAAATGCTGGGACTGAACACATTTTTCCCCCATCACCCTTTTCTTTTATATTTTTTTCCCATGCTTTATGCTTCTACAACTTTTCATTTTTAAATTAAAACCAAACAAAACAATAAACTTAAATGAAACACACTGTTCTCACTTTTTAGTGGTGTCAGCACAGGGACATCTATCAAAGCAATTACCATAAAATGATTAAACTCATCTTGATTCCATTCAAGCAGTAAGGATTCTGTTTCAACCTATGGTGCACTTATAACCACGTACAATTCCTTATTTGACTTTATTTTTTTTTTCAGACATTTGATCTTTCCACCCTTAGAGAAAACACAAGCCAATTCAGGTTGCAATCAGAATTTTTAAATGTGAGAAAAAGATAAAAGGAAGAGAGGCAATTGGGAAAAAAAGAAAAAGATGGATGAAGAGAGGAAAAACAAGGTATCAATAACCATCAGGCAAGATTTATAATTACCACCATTTTCAGCATGAAATGAAGCACTGAGAAATATTATTAATCTTCTCCCTATCTGATAATTATTTTATTATGTTGAGATGTTGGCTGCTTCATCCACACATTTCTGCTGATGCCCTCAGCCTCAACTTGAATTTTATGCTAGGTGAAGGCCAGTGAGAAGCTACAGAACCTCACTGCACTAAAGTACTATTGCTACTAGTAAGACATGGTCAAATGGTATTCCCAGCAACACTGGAATATAGCCAAGACAGCACTTACAACTGTTGTAGACTTATTCCATTACAAAACTAGGACTTTTCAAAATGCATATGAATATAGTACATACACCAGTTGTGCTCTGCCTTGTATTTAACAACACTGATTAAGTGGCAACTTTTTGCATCTTAATGCAAGCTGTATTGCATGAAAGGGAACTGGGGATGGGTCATGTTCACAAAAAATGCAAATCATGCATCTACCAGAGAGGCAGATTATTGCCTTTTGCAAAGCTTACACCAAGCTCAAAGCCATAAACTCTCGGTCACACCAACCCACCTACAAGAAGCCCTACATACCTGAGCTGTCCCATCGCCATCAATGGCCTAACTCATGTGAGCAAAGGATAGCAGGATCAGCCATTAGGCAACCAAAGTCTGGCGTTTATTGTGTTCTCTCCTGCCTGCTCAGAGGAAGATGAAACCCAGTGCTGAGGTCACTGTACAACACTGCCGTGATTTTTAACGCTCTAAACCCATACATACATGATAAAACTACTGGGCTTTGTTCATTTCAAACACCTCATTTCCCATGCTAGCACTCTTCAAAACTTTTATCTCCACTCTCATGACCTACACATGTACTTCTTGTCCCTTTCCCATACACATCTGGATACTGTCAGGGTTACCACAACCTCTTCCTCTCTTATCCTTAAAAATCTTGGTCCATGGTAGTTGATTCCTCCATTTTCCACTTCAGAAAAAGTACGTGTATTTCATTTTCATCTAAATCCTCCATGACAAAAAGATTCTTTGAACTAGCTTCAGCATAAATAGAAATCATGTTCAGATGTTAATGCAAACACACTTTTAAAATAAATGGTGAAGCCTGAGAGTCTTTTATTAATACGCAACATGTATATTCTCCTCTGAAGGGGAAGGAGGGGAAAAACCCTGGCAAAACTATCCAACTATATCAGTTTACCAAGTATTAAAAACCTGTTTTGCCAACATAGAAACTTTCATCCTTTTCATACGTAATTTACAGAACACTAGACTACAACTACAAAGCAGAGTATAAAGATGTTGCAAGCTCTGACACTAAATTAAAGAATGAATTTGCAGCTGAATTACTACTTCCAAAACAAACCACATAAAACATGAAACATGACAAGAGAAGAAAATAAATGTGATAACTCTACTTCTATAATTTATACTTTCAATAATAAATACAGAAACAAATGAACATAGGAAACTCACCATCACATGCAGAATTAAGAGCAAAAAAGATATGTTTGTCTACACTGACCATTAATGATGGAAAAGTTATTTTTGATAAATCTTATTACTTCGTTTTCTCAGTTTAAAAATATTTCCCCACTGATAATTAAATATGGATGTATTCCCTTTCATCAAAACATGCCTGCCTCCTTACCAACTTGGGGCAAGTAAGCATTAGTGAAAATAAATAAATCTGATCAAAGCAATGACAGCATTTAATTCCACCAAAGTCAAAAGAA